GGAAGCGGTCGACTGTGGCATAATAAAAGCTCTGCTGCTTTCGAGCTGTGTGTCACGCTCATTCAGCGGCCTCGTTTCGCTTCGACGGCTTTCAGCCTCACCCTGCTTCTTACTACGTCATTAACCAATCATTAGCTCATCCATGAACATGATTTCTGCCCGAGTCCCGTTGGATTGCACTGGTTGTGGGGATGAAGACGACAACTCCCATGATTCCACACTCAGTCACGGCGTCATCAAACTACGCCTTTGTTTCTTTGTTTGTTTTGAATATGCGCCCTCTAGCGGCGAAAACGTACATATTGTGCCTTTAAGAAAAAATATATTTCTTGACCCCACTGGGAATATTTGATTTTTTTTAATACATTTTTCATAAAACAAGACTTAATATTAGTAATTTTGCTTTTGAAGTAAATACATCTTGATTTAGGAATGTTTAGATATTTGTACTGGAAAACGAGACAAATATACTGAGAAAGTATGTGCAGTGGATGAGATAAATGAGTACTTTAAAGGAACACTCCACTATTTTTGAAAATAGGCTAATTTTCCAACTCCCCTAGAGTTAAACAGTTGAGTTTTACCGTTTTCGAATCCATTCAGCCGATCTCCGGGTCTGGCGGTAGCACTTTTAGCTGTAGCTTAGCATAGATCATTGAATCTGATTAGACCGTTAGCATCTCGCTCAAAAATGACCAAAGAGTTTCTATATCTTTCCTATTTAAAACTTGACTCTTCTGTAGTTACATCGTGTACTAAGACTGACGTAAAGTTGACATTTTCTAGGTCGATATGACTAGGAACTATCCTCTCATTCCGGCGTAATAAACAAGCAACTTTGCTGCCGTACCATGGGTGCAGCAGGCGCAATGATATTATGCAGTTCCTTGATTATTGCGCCGGAATGAGAGTATAGTTCCTAGACATATCGGCCTAGAAAATCGCAACTTTTCATTTTCCGTTTGTCTTAGTACACGATGTAACTACAAAAGAGTCAAGTTTTAAATAGGAAAAATATAGAAACTCTTTGGTCATTTTTGAGCGAGATGCTAACGGTCTAATTAGATTCAATGATCTATGCTAAGCTACAGCTAAAAGTGCTACAGCTAGACCGAATGGATTCGAAAACGGCAAAACTCAACTGTTTAACTCTAGGGGAGTTGGAAAATGAGCCTATTTTCAAAAATAGTGGAGTGTTCCTTTAATAGTAAAAGCAAGTGTATGACCTATAAGAATTTGATTTAGAGTAACTTACTTGGCTCATCGGTGAGGACTAGCATGTGGAGAGAGATTATAACAATAAATTACTCTATACACCACACAGCTGATGAAATGCATGCCATGTTTTTGTGGTGATGTACTGTACACTCACCAGGAATGATGCCCTCCGGGTCAAAGGGGTCGAAAGGATTTTCCATGAACTTCCCGTAGCCTGTAGCCTGGTCTCTACCCAGTTTATTCTCCACGATGAGTGTGTAGTTGCCATTGTTGAGGTGCGTGGGCTTATTGAGGAACAGACAGCCGTGTTGAATGGAACCATCGGCCGCATCTCGGATCAGTTCGGTGTAGGTGTAGCGTGTTTCGATGAGAGGCAGGTTGTTGTACAGCCATCTGATGCTGGCAGGAGGATTGCTGTCCACAGCGAATGGGAAACACCAGTGATGTTGTGGCTCTGGGTCCTTCAGAAACAAGATCCGCACTGGAACTAAACACACACAGGGAATGAGTTCACACACGTGTGCAGTAAGATATCACAGTCACAATATCAGCTGATATTGAATTGTTTCTGCCTATTTTGAGATTTAGATTACTTTTGATAACATCTAGGAGTAATGTAAAAGGATAGTGACAGATTATGGCAAAGAACACTCTGTTGAAGAACAATTTAATATTAAGAGTGCATGTCAGAGTTGTGTGTGCAGTAAGATAAAAGCAATAGCAGAGCTGTCTATATAAATAAAATAATTTAAATTAGTATTGTTGTTATTAATGTTGTTATTATTATTATTATTTTTAAATAACGGAATTATAAACTTTCTAATTATCTTAATATTTAACTTATTGTTAACTTTATATTTTGACTATTATTATTATTATTAAAAGTTCAATTAACGTTCATTATTATATAAGAGGACTTAATGAATAACTATAACTTAGTGTTTTTTTCTTTGTGAGTTGTGTGTGTGTGTTTAGCATTAGAGTATGTAATGAGTACCTTCTTTCTTTCTTTTGGAAAAATGTGCAACAGCCTTTATATATTTGACAATCTAATCAATATCCAGGAGGTTCCTAACCCTAACCCTAACTCAAACATTATGTATTTGAAAGCTGATTTTTAAAAAGTATATATTTTTTAATTATTATTATTATTATTAATTTCACATACTATTTTTCAGCTTTACTATCAGCTTTAAATACTTACTGTTTAAAAATATACTTTAAAATATACACTGTTAATATTATTTATTGATCATAAAGTTATAATAACAAATACTATTTTAAAATTGGCTTTATAATACATACTGTTTAAACTATATACTTTGAGATGATCTATACTATATAAATTTTAGTAATAATAACAAAGAATTTTAAATAATTCATTTACTGAATTGTAATTTTTACAATTTACAATTACTAAGAATTGTAATTTTTTAACTTTATTATAGGAAAGAGTATTTAAAGAATATCTTTCATACTGTGCATTATAACATTGTGTGATTTTTTTTTTTTTTGTTACGTTTTTTGTCTTTGTCACACTGACAGCATGTCATCGCTTTTATTCAGCTGCTGTTCCAACTCTATCATCCAGTCTGCATTCCTATTGGTAGTCATTGCTTTGCATCACTGCTCATTTGCATAAAGTTAAAACCGGTTGCTGTTTGAAATCATTGCTGCATTTGGCATTCGTGCGCAAATAAAAAAGTCCACGTAATGTTCCTGTATAGATAATGCTTTTCTATATCCAGTACCCGTTCTTCAGAATAGCTCAAATGACTGGCACATCCGTCATAATTTTTTCCACGAATCAATGTGCTCCATCTTTACAGTAAACCTGTTGACCTGCTATAAATAATAAATCTCAATCTGTTTAGGGGACCTAACCACAAGAGGCACTTGAGAGCCTACTGAAGGTGGGATGCAGGAAATGGTTCTTTTAGCCAGGAGAACATGCTGATGCACTCGACCCGCTCTCTGCTTCATAACCATTTCACTGCTCTTAACCCATGACCCTGCCTGCAGAAAGTGCTTTGCACAGAGAATCGCAGTCATTTGTGTCATGGCCTAGAGTTCACGCTTAAAAAGCGTCCTCGTTATACCGACCCCATGTTAACAGTTGAGATTGAGAGCCATCTGTGAACTCCACTAATTGTGGTTATCAAAAGGAATTAAATGATTGAATCCATCGGGTTGCGGTTGAGGTAGATGGCCATAGGTGAATTTCATCATCTGGAGCTACAGTTAGCAGTGAGTACAGTATGCTAAGGGCCATAACTAACGCTGGGGAATTATATTATTGAATGGCGTCTGGGTTTAATAAAAGAGGTTTTGGATCGGAATTATGCCTGCGTGCGGTGCGGGATTTTGTGAGCGCGTTGTTATAACCCATAGACCAGGGATCCTCAAATCTGGCCCCCGAGATCCACTTTCCTGCAGAGTTTAGCTCTAACCCTATTCAAACACACCTGAGCATGCTAATCAATGTCTTCAGGATCATTAGAAAATCAAAGGGAGTTGAGTTTGATCAGGGTTTGAGCTAAACTCTGCAGCACATTGGACCTCCAGGGTAAGATTTGAGGAACCGTGCCATAGACAGTATGAAAACATGGACGTAGTGTCCGTGACGTCACTCGTAGTTTTCTGAAGAGCGTTTTTGAAGCTCAAAGTGGGCGGAGTGGGCCGTCGCCATCTTGGCAGCGCGTCACCGCGCGTCACTCCCAGATAATCAAAAATGGGCAAAAAGGTGGGAGCTGGTTGCTGAAGCCATGCCCAAAATTAGCTATATAGACCAAAATAATTTTTTGAACCGGGCTGTAAACATGTTTTTTTCTGCTGTAAAGTTGGCCATTTTAACATGGGGAGTCTATGGGATTGACTCCCTTTTGCAGCCAGCCTCTAGCGGCCAGTTGACGAATTACAGTTTAAGTCCCTTCCGTGTTGGCTTCACGAGAGAGAGCGGGAGGTTGCCGCTTGCTATAACCGTCCTGCTAATTTACAAGATAATTAAGTAGTGGCCGTTGACGAGCCGTTGTCCACCCGTCACATGATTCTGACAGACTGGCATCTACTTGCTATCTGCCCATCAGTCCTCACAATTATATTTCCGGACTATGGGGGAGAGAAATCCATTAGTAGAGAACAAACAAGATCTGAGGACGGTTATCATCCCATTTTCCTGACAGTCATTATCGCTCCCCTGATGGCTATACATTTGTCTGAAGTCAAGCACTGTTTTTCTTCTTTCTGAAGAGGAGGTGATAAACAGTGATAATTGCTGTGGTGTGTGGAGTGCGGTCATATGGGAGGATTTTTTTCGATGGAAAACCTTGCAATACTATTGCTTGCTGTCAAGAGCATACTATAAAATACAAATATTGGATGAAAAACTTTAAATGAAAATTAGAGGAAATGGATAAACTAAATTTCAAGTCAAACTACAACTGAAATAAAGGAAACCTAAACAGGGTTGTTATAGTTTGATAAAATAAAAACATAAAAAAAGTATTTTTGTTAATAAACGTGAACTGAAATAAAATAATATAATAAAATATACACTTAAACTTATTTTGTTTCAGCTAGTTGCCAGGCACAACTTATTTTAATTTAGTTTAACTTGATATACTAACATAACTAAAACTGGAATGAATTTGAATAAAAACTATACAAACTTTAAACAACTAATGTATTTTTGTTAATAAACGTGAACTGAAATAAAATAATATAATAAAATATACACTTAAACTTATTTTGTTTCAGCTAGTTGCCAGGCACAACTTATCATTTTAATTTAGTTTAACTTGATATACTAACATAACTAAAACTGGAATGAATTTGAATAAAAACTATACAAACTTTAAACAACTAATAAAACACAGGAAAAATTACTAAAATGAACATAGAAAAATAAAATCTATTTGAAAATATTAATACAAACCATGATAGAATCTCAGTGAAAAAATAACACTGATTCTAAATAGTAATATTAAAAAAGAAATCAATAAAAGTAGCAAAAGAACAACAAAATTACTAAATATTAAACTAAAATGAAAACATAAAAAAAAAACTACAATAGTATGTAAATAATACTAAAATAACATTGTTTTTCTTTGGTGGGTTTAAGGAACCTCATGCATGGGTTTTAGTTTAAACATGGTATAGTTGGTTGGCCAGATAAATTTCATAATAACTTTTGGTTTGAGAAGTCACTTATGTTGCTCTGTTAAAGAAGTTAAGAAATCGATAGAAGCTCAGAGTATTGAAAAAAAAAAGAAGTTGTTGCATCTTTTTATCAGCTTTATATCTCACAATCTTGCAATTGCAACTTAATTTTTTTAACTTGATCTTTTTTTACAGAAACGAGTTCAGATTTTCAGATTTTAAAATACACTGGTAGACATTTAAGCAAAACGACTTGGTTCTCCCTTGAAAAATAGTAGCTTATAAGGTGAAAAAAAGGATGGAAGTGAAAGAACAAAAGGTTTCCGCACATACATTCGATGTCCAGCTGCACCACGGCTTCTCCCATTCCAGCGCGATTCTCTGCCTCACAGGTCAGGTTGTGCAGGTTGTCTCCAGACGACACGTTCCTCATGAACAGAATCAGCTCCAGGCTTGATCCCCAGATCCCTCGCTGTGGACAAGGATGGATGTAGGCAAGATTTAACTGACTGACAAAGTAAACAACTCTTTGAAGTCCAGATTTGAGTGGACTGGGGTAAGAAAAAGATTCCTTTCAACCAATTTTACATGTATTAATTGTCCAAAGTGACTGACAAATGAAGAATACTACAACAAAAGTGATTAATCATAGGGTTAGAGTTATAATTGCATGTTTTATTTTTTATCAAGTGCATGGTTAATCATATCGGTCATTTTCCATAGATGACTTCATTGACAAAGTCCTTAAGTGAAAGCAGTGTCATGTACCTGCAGGGTCCAGTTGGACTTTAGGTGCTCTGTTCTCCAGCGGATCATCGGTGTTGGTACTCCAGTCACCAGACAGGTAAATGTCAGATTTCCACCTTCTTGAGTGGTCAGTGTCGATGTGTGAATTGTGACCTCGGGAATACCTGCAGACCACAAAACATTTCGTTCAATCATGACAACTCTTGGAACATTTTAGCATGGTGATGGATATGACAATGTTAATGTATTTGGTCTTGGCGAAACAGATCTGCTACGCTGCTGCTGAATTGCTGCTGCTGTTGGTTATTGCTGTAGTTGTAGATTATTTCTGCTGCTGCAAGCAAGTACAGGAACTTGCTACTGCCAATGCATATGGCGATACGGTGCCATGAGTATTTAAGACCTACTGCTGCTGCACAAATAGCATATAAAATAGCCCCGTAGCAGATCTATACAGGTGGAGCTGGGGAAGGTGGAGGGATTCAGAGAAACTCTGAAAGCACGCTGCAGGAATCTCAAGTGAATGCTAGCCAGCCATATAAATGCAAGGCAGTAAGCTCATTGGCTGCATATGCAGCATGAACCAATCAACTTGTGCCAAGTCGTTTAACTCTCTGAATATCATCAGTTACATTAACACCCGTCAGAATGCGCCATCTAGAGTTTCATGACTGAACTATATATTTATAAGGACATTGGAAAATGACGGGGAAGAAGATCAGGAAATATCACAACATGAAGTTTGTGAGTACATGGAATAATCTAATGAATACACTCCTATTCAAAAGGAAATTAGTACTTCTATTGAGCAAGGATGCAATAAATTGTTCAAAAGTGACAGTAAAGACCGATTTCAATGTTATATTTTACAACCTAACTCAATGCTGTTCTTTTCAACTTTCTATTCATCAAAGAGTCTTAAAAAAACGAATGACAGTTTCCACAAAAATATGAAGTGGCACAACTGTTTTCAACATTGATAATATTAATAAATATTTCTTGAGCAGCAAATCAGCATATTACAATAATTTCTGAAGGATCATGTAACACTGAAGACTGGAGTAATGATGCTGAACATTCAGCTTTGCATCACAGGAATAAATTACATTTTAAAATATATTCAAATAGAAAACAGTTATTTGGAATTGCAATAACATTTCACTGTTTTTACTGCATTTTTGATCAAATAAATGCAGCCTTAAAAGACTTCTTTTAGAAACATAAAATCTTACCGCCCCAAATTATTGCACAATAGTGAAAGTATCCAATATGTTTCAATAACCATAAATAATGATTATTTCAACCAAGTTTCCTAAACACTGTCATTGGTCAGTCGAACGAATGTCTCTGTCCCAAGTTTTGCGGAAATCAATCGATGAATGGCTTGCTTATTGTCTCTTCATATTTAACTGGGACAGAAGTAAGTAAAATGACACACTTTTTCGCATTTAAAAATAGGTTTGATTCCAGATAGGAGCACTTACTGCAGTTATCAATTTCAAATGAATCCAGCTGAATGCTGTTGCCATTGTGGACGCAGGTTTGTTGAGAATCCGTGTCACTTTGTCTTTTTCTGTGCCACTGCTGAAGCCAGTAAATGTCACATGAGCAGGTGAGCGGATTGTCCCTTAAGATTCTGTGCAAAAGAGAAGCAGGTGACATTTCTTATGCTTATGTCATGCTTTCAGAAAAATATGTATGTAAGACCTAAGATGTATGATTTCAACTTTTCAGACAGAGGTAAATTGTTCACATTTTCAGTCCCAAATCACCAGCAGAGCAGAATAAATCTGTAAATCTGAGTGCAGTGTGTTACTCACAGACTCAACAGAGGGACCGATTGGAACACTCTCCAACTGATGTGCACCAGAAAATTAGAGGCCAGATTTCTGTAAAAGAAGTGAAGATGTGAATAACACATGCCAAAGAGAGTTATTGTACAATAGTTAGATAGACTCTTAATAAATAAGACTATTTCTCTTTAAAAACATAAAATGTGTAGACAGCTCAGATATAAAGTTTAACATGTTTGTAGGAATTTTATCACATATCTAGATGTTTGTTTTCTGAAGAGAGTGTAAATGGTGCAAAATATGCTGCTGTGGCGCTACACTGAAACAAAATGGGTATAGAAACAATCTGTACTCAGAAATTGCTAATAAATTTAACTAACAATTACACCGAAACAGCAAGTAACAGAATTAAACATAATTTTGAACTAGAAAAACTCAATTTTCAGTAACACGTTACTTAAAGCCTTTATGTATAATGCATTATAAATAACATCAATAATATACATTATAATGCAATATATATTTTCAAAAATAATTGTAACAGACTGAATATTTAAAAGATTCCATACAGCTGAAATTGGTGGTTGTCATGTCAAATATACTTTCTAAAGTTGTAACAGTGAATTAATAGATGAATAGTATTATAAAGTATTATAAATGTGGTATCAGTTCATGAGATCATATAATGCATTATAACGTGCTTTATAAGGCGTTACTATTAAACTATGCATTAAAAATATTTTTATATTGCATTCTAAATAAAGGCTTCAAGTAAAGTGTTACCACATTTTCTTGTAAAACATACAAAAAAGAACATTTATTTACTACTTTGGAGAATAATTCCTTACTGCGTAAGGTCTTCTGAGTGGTTGGTACGTGGTTGCTGTGTTGTAAGTAAAATTAAAACTATTAAAAATAGTTTTTGCCAGTTAAAATAAAGCTGAAATAGAATATACATTTTAGACTGAAAACCTTTTTTTAAAAAAAAAAAATAATGAAAATTTGAAATATTGCCTTGGTAACTTACTAAAATAAAATAAGTTTAAATAGATGTAAAACTGAAACAAAAATAAATTGAAGCTTAATAGAAACATAAATACAACAGACATCACAAAAGCACACTAAAAGTTACTAAAATTTAAACTAAAAATGAAAACTGAAATTACAAAAACAACAGCCAATTCAAAATAACAGTAAATACTCTAGTAACATACAAATAATACTAAAATAACACTACTACAATAACAAGACATTGTTCTGGTTTCTAGATATGAATCCAGTAAACCCTTCAATGCAAGGGGCATTGATTTTTGGGGGCAATTTTATTGTCCTCCAGTTGAAAATCTAAAGTCCAATCACTTAGAAAAGTAAAAGTACCATGATTTGAGGTATTTTTCATGTCTGTAGCATAAATGTAAAGGATGCTTTGTGCTCCAACGAGCAAAATATTTAAGCTTGTATAAAGTTTGTATAAATCTCAACCCTCATATATAAGCAATAGCAAGCAGCAAATGAAAACTGAAATTACAAAAACAACAGCTAAAATAATAGTAAATACTCTAGTAACATAAATAATACTAAAATAACACTACGGCAAGAATAACAAGACGTTGTTCTGGTTTCTAGATATGAATCCAATAAACCCTTCAGTGAAGGGGGAATATTTTAGCACAAATATAAAGGATACTTTGTGCTTCGAAGAGCAAAATATTTAAGCTTAAGAGTCTGTATAAATCTCAACCCTCACATATGAGCAATAGCAAGCAGCAGTAACAAGATTCAATGCAGCAAAATATTTCATAGCAGCACTGCATTTCTAAATAACACTGGCACACATCTCTCTGTATTGGCTGACAACTGGACTCGAGCTTAAAGGTGGGGTAAGCGATTTTTCAAAAACGCTTTAGAAAACTGAGTCGGGCCGACTAGAAAAACAAACTTGTAGCCAATCAGCAGAAAGGGGCGTGTCTACTCATGACGTGGCGGAGAGAGCGTTCAGTGCACATGACTGACATTAGCGAGCCAGGCGACAGAAAGATAGAGATGGCAGATAAAAAACAAAAGAGGAAAACGTCTGCGGAACAAAAGAAGGCTTAAGGCAATAAGTAGGACCCGTGTAAATATCGGAAACTTTCCAGAGCTGGAGAGAACTCAAGGAGCGGAAGGCCTGCGATCGGACGCAGAGGTTGCTTTGTTTCTTCTCGATAGGTGAGTAACACCGTGTCTGCGCCGCAACAGCTAAAGTCTGTCTAGTACACTGAACACGACAAAGCGACCGTTAAAAATCATTTGAAATTTGTGTCAATACGTCACAAATAGAACGCAGCAGCCGTTTTCTGTCGGGGATTTGTCGTGTCGTGTCGTGTCGTGCCGCGCCGCGCCGCATCCAGTGTAGAGTAGACCATAGATGTGTATATATATATATATATATATATATATATATATATAATATATATATATATATATATATATATACACCCTGCTACGTGTACTGCGTTAGGCTAACCGAGACTTGTCATTTGCACTTATATATTGTTGCTCTTTTGTTAGTTTTGACTGCTTTTATTGTCGTCATTTGTAAGTCGCTTTGGATAAAAGTGTCTGTATACAAATAGGGGCGAGACCCTTTTGGGGGTAGTGGAGTGTTTGTTTTGGTGATTTCAAATGTCAACATTGGCTACCAGAAATCGCTTACCCCAATTTTAATTAGTTGAGTGAATTTCTTCTCTTTCTCACAGACCAGGTTGAACTAAGAGTGAGAGTGTGAATTTTCAAGGCCTGTGTGTTGACTGCAGACATAGTTTGATGGATATTTTGCATCGTTTTGTGTACAGAAAACTTCTCAGTTCAAGGTTTCCAATTCAGAGATATTTGTCGTCCCGTCTAACTGAGTTTGCGAGACAGAAGCTGAAATCTAAAGCTAGATGACAGACGATGGGGACAGTGACGGATTCGCACATATAGATTCTCTGTGGCAGGGCTAATGGGGGCCAGCAAGGGTTCAAATATTTGTTTTCCCTACTCCCAAAAGTTCTTGTCAGATGGGTCGGCCATCGGGGCCTATCTGTTACAGCTCGATTCTACCGTAGGGAGAGAGCGTCTGAGAATAGCAGCTGGCTGTTGAGGGGAGGGGGAGGCCGTGGATTAAAAAACCGAAGCCACGGACGAATAAAAGAGAGACTCGTTTATGCTTATGCTTTTTCATACTGTACATCCCCACCGCCACACGATGCTCGCAGAGACACAGACACATCTGGTCCTCCGCACAGCCCTTTGTGAAATATTGATTGCGTGATAATGGACCCTTAGTGGAGTGTATTTATTATGCATCAGTTGTCAATAATACGCCAAAGTGGGGAGTAAAAGGTGACTGCTGGATATGCTCTCATGTTTCCCCAGAACCCCCCCCGTTCCCCCCTCCTGTGTGACCGCTTTCCCCCACATCAACAACAGTGGGCATGTCACACACTGAGAGATAACGATTACAAGATAGTGGAGATAAGGGTCAACAACCTTTCGGCTAATATTGTTAGTGTTTGCTTGATGCTGTGATTAGAAATCTTCCCTTCAGGAGGAAATAGATGTCACATCTTTGAGCCTTAAAAATTATGATTTGTAAATAGCTATGCTTCTACACTGGAAAAAAAAGGTGTAGAAATGATGTGCCCTCAAAAATTACTAGTAAATTTAACAAACAATAATAAAGAATCAAGTAACAATTTGAATTTGATGCAATATTTTGAAAAGCATTTCCTAGTAACACATACACATACATAAATCATTGTTTTATTTGCAACTTTGAAAAATCTTTCTTAGACTGGATTTTGAGTTAATGAGTTATTTATCTGTTTATGTTATAGTCTATTATGACATGATTATGCTGAGGAGGTTCTATAAGGTTTCTATATGTGATGTTTGATTTATTGTATACATGATTTAAATGAGATCAAGATCATAGAAACCATTAATAAAACCAAGTTAATGTTATTTTTTTCCTGTTTTTTTTTTTCATCCAGCAACATTTTCATGTACTCAAATACATACATGAATACAATACATAAGAGCATATTCCATATTCAAGATGTTTTAAGAATTTAGAAATTCTGTAGAAAAAATATAACTGCATACAGGTTTGTTATGACATGATGTGAAGTTTGATTTGTTGTATACATGGTTTTCATGAAATCAAGGGCTTAGAAACCATTATTGTTATTTTTGAAGATTTAAAATGAATAATCTCCCAAAATGTAATTTTTGTATTATTTATTTACCCTCATATCATTCCCAAACTAACATATTATTTCTTTGTTTTTTCTAAAACTATATTTTTTCCTATCCAGTTGCGATAGATAGATAGATAGATAGATAGATAGATAGATAGATAGATAGATAGATAGATAGATAGATAGATAGATAGATAGATAGATAGATATGATTAAGTCTCATTTACAGCATAATTAATTAATTCAATAGAAAACAAATAACAGCATGCCGGTTTGAAATGATAGGAAAGTGGATAAATAATGACAGCATGGTTTCCATTTTGGGGCAAAATGTTCCTGTAAGCCTTAGCAAAAGCCTTTGTCACACTGTTGCATTTCAAATAGCAAATCAAGAAGAACTACAGGATGTAATGTTATGTAATTAATATTCATGAGCCAAGCTGATTTTATAAAGTGTCCTCCACCCCACAAAACACAGTTTTTCAGATTGTTCTAACGCCCTTGAAATACATGATGAACTAATCTCTGCAACTGAATGCATTTAAATGATTTCTAGAAGTGAAATGTAGAAATCTTTTCCTCAGTATTCATTTGGCTGATGACTAACTTTAAATGTGTCTTGGGTTTTTGCCGCCTGAGACCAATAAAGCAGCTTCACTCATCAAAAGGGAAGAGGGTTTGAAGTGATTGACAGGTACAAGCCCTGAGGCCCAAGTGTATTGTGGGAAGGCCGGTCATATATGTAAAGAACACTCACACATACTGCAGCTTGAAATTATGCTGGAAGGCATTTTCGGAGATGTACAGCAACTCACAATATGTGACCGTCCTGAAATACATATATGAATGCACAAAGTCTTCATTTACTTGAAAATCTTCTTGGAATCTTATACGTATATCTTTTGTAGACTGTGTTTTACTTACAGGTTCTTCAGTTCTCTGTAGTTGGCGAGGTCTACGTCTGTGATGTTCTCCAGGTTGGGTTGACTCTCTATGTATCTAAAGGGTTGAAATGAAAGAACAGGTTAAAATGCAACTAAAATGTAAAACGTTTTATATGATAGTGTTCTGACTGGTAGTTAGTAGTACATTGCTATGGGTTGCTAGAGGTGATTTCTATGGTATACTTAGCAGGCACCTCTAGTAATAATAAGACTCAATGACATTGATTCAAATCTAAAACTATTTACCATCAGTTCCTGGTGCATTTCATTGGTGCACTTTATTCTCTTTGCATGATCAAAATGCAATAACTTGCTTCACCTCTGAAATGACTTTCCTTTTCAGATGATGTCACAATCCATCTTACTTTCCTCTCCAACCATCAGACTCCATTCTGGTATGTAACGCCCACTTTTCATGATCTCATCAGTTCCCATCCTACCTATTCCCAATCATAAGTGTGTTGCATTATGGAAGTAAAATGGTTTTCAAACTGAATTTCTTGTTGAATTAAGAATTATCTTGCTTTGTTGAAATATTGAAAAACATGGAAATGCAGCCACCCAAGTTGCATTAGAATGACGTCTTCCTGGCATATGCATTTGGATAATTCAAAATAGTTCATCTAATGTACCACATATAGCAGAAGAAACTTGTTTTCTCGCCACTATAAAACTCCAGGTCTCTTTGAGTTAAATGAAATAGCTCTGTTCCCTTGCATCCGTTAATATGGGGCATAAACACCATCAGTGAAGTATTTTGAAATCGATTGCTTTTCAGTTCCACGCAGTTTCGTTGAAACGCACTTGTACTTCCAGGAAGGAGAACTCAGATTATTTTAGAGAAATGTTTAAATGGTTTCTCCACAATGGCTCAGTGAATCAAACTATATAGAGCTGTATGACGTGTTCCCTAATTCAGTCAAAGTAAAAAAAAAACGAACCAAAACCGTTTTGTGCACCATTTCTCTAATCATCTAGAACATTTCATTCTGCAGGTCAATGTCAACTGACAGCAGCACTTGACACTGGAAAAGCCAAATAAACCACAGAACTCATATCAGAAATGCTTTTTGTAAGCCATTTTTACAGACTCTTATGATTCTAAATTGCACAGCCAATTAAATTATTGCTTTTACTGTAGCATGCTAAAATATGGTATTTTATTTAAAAGTAAATAAATTAATTATATACTGTATATATATATATATATATATATATATATATATATATATATATATATATATATATATATATATAATTTGCTAGCAAAGTAAATCCTACATCAGCTGTTTATATATTATTATAATAATGTTGCTGCCTTATATGCTCTCTTAATTGTACATAATAGCCTTTTCAGATATATATGCTGATAACTAAAGACATTTCTACTGACTTTACTGGAATCCTTTGATCTGGGATTCTGTCCAGTTGTGTTCGAGAAGCACAAACAGATATTTATTAGCGTCTGATTGACCCAGAGAGCCGTAATGCAATTACAGAGCAGGTGGGACGACATCTCAAACTGCTTTGGCTTATTGAATCGAGTCGAGTGGGCAATATTTCATCTATTGTTTTCAGCGGTGCATTCGCATGCAATTCACAGAATGGAATTTACAGCATGATGAATGATGTATTTCTGCCGCTGGTATGAAGTTAATGGTCTCTTGTTTTCCTCCCTGGTAGAAGCGCTGTTCCTCTGTACTGTGCCCATCTCACTAATACGGCCAAATGCTGCGTTTTTTTACGGGCACAAAGTGTTCCGTGTAAACACAAGGCGAAAGAGCATTTTCATTTATTGAGTGAATGCTTGTAGTAAATGTAAGACTCGACTGGATTTTAGAGAATCACACTTGAGCAGGTGTACTGAGATAAAACAACAGTGGCAACTGTGCAGAACTTTACCATAAAAATACAGGGATGACGTCAGACACTTTTAGATGGTGTTTTGGAATCTGTGTTTTTCATCCAGTTATCCTAATTATTAAATTAAACAACAGATGATCAATGCAACTTCCAAGAAAAAAAATCTTCTGTTATTAAGTTGCATTATAATCATTGTAGGTAAAGTGTTTGCCTAAATACTGTGGCAAAAATCTGTGAATTGTATTGAAACATTTTGTCTATATCTATCTATCTGTATGTTGCTTGATATGGCTTAATTTTTCTCCATAGGAAACAATAGGAGTTATTTTCAAAAAATGTCAAAGCTGCTCTTCTCTGTATGATGAAATTACATGTTGATCTCTTCAGTTTCAATTTAAGATTTGTTTATTAAAACGCAATATATTAGCTTGGGATTTGAACCCTGGTTCTTACTTTTTTCCCCCACCTTTTTTAATATTTAATCTCTTCCAGAGAACCAAGAGAGCCAGATCCTGAAAGCTTGATCTCAAAAAAGCATGGACTCCTCTTCAGCATAATGATACATGATGCACATGATGATACCGTTCATCAAAAATAGTCTTTCCAGCATCTGTGACCGATCTATGACACAGATTTGGGCAGTGCACATTGTGTCCCAAACAAAGACCATCAAGGTAACACACATCTAAATGCCACTAAAATAATGCCATATACATTAACTAAGTAAATGCCATTTAACACCCCAATGGACATAAATAATAAGAAAATGAGATGCAGCATTGCTTTAAAAAAAGAAATGTCTTAGATATGGGAATGATATTGTACATTTTGAGGTGAATCATAGTTTACACACAAAATTATATACAGTACATTTAAAACAACATTGTAGTGTAAAAGTACATTCTATTTTTAAATATAAAAGCTTTTCATTGCATATAATAAACTAACTTAGAGTTAACCAGTTATCAGGCTTTTTATAGCATTTCTTTTCATTTAAATATTCCATTGTTTACACTTGGAGGTGCAACAGAGAACGCATGAAACTGAGATGATTGTAAGAGGTGTGGCGATTATGTTTCCTACTACAAGCATGAGTGGTATAGTAATATAAACACTATTCTGAATGAAGTGCACTAAACTGATCTCAAGTCCTGCACCTCTGGGATACATCCATCTGACTGTACACACATGAATGTGGAGATGTTTTCTCACCATTTCCGAGAATAGATTATGTACCTGACACTCTTAAAAGCACTTAAAGAGAAGCTGCACACAGACGCTCAGCAGCAACACAGAGTACCAGGCCTTTCCACCAGTCCTTGACTAGTTCCTAAGGATTGTCTTGTTTTGAGAAAGTTCTGCTTTCGGTGCATCACATCCTGATTCCACAAATTAAGTGAAATGCATGTAAAAGCAATAAATGCTGATAACTGGAGTGGTCTGCCAGAAAAAAAACACTTGGCTACACCATGCACCAACTACATATCCAAATGCCCAGATTTCTCCATGAAAATTCATGATGGCCAATCACTTTGATTGAACTCGCCACCCATTCCATCTCCTTCCAAGATCAAGCGCTGAACTTCCACACAACTTTGCTCACTGTAAACTACCTAAACACCAAATTCAACTTACATTTCAGTGACGTTTTCGCTCTCCTGCGCCGCCAGCGCAGGGATGCTGGTGATTCCGTCCAGCTCCAGGCATTGAAGCATGGCGAAGGAGCAGCGGCAGGCGCTTGGGCATCCGCTCAGGGCTGGTGAGACCAGGACAAGAAGCAAAACCACAGCCGGGGCCACCTTACGGTCAGCCATGGTGGGGTTCGAGTGAGTATGTTATCCTGGGAGAAACTCCACCCTGCAGCAGGAACTCTGGATGTGAGGAGAAGCTTCTCTTCTCTTGGCCAGCACTCAGGGTTATGATCCCATCCAGGAGCTGAGCTATTGAGCCGTGTAGCAGGGCCCAGGGGAACGGTGGGCTGTTGCCTCCTCTCCTCCTCTCACTACCTCCCAGTCCGAGATGGAGAAACGGAGGGGAGGGGCAAAGCAGTCCATTAGTTGAGTGTGAGTGTGAGATGAGAGAGAGCAGTGGTCACCAGACACCTCTGTGACACTTGCAGAAGCAAGCGGGGAAGCCAAACCCGTGAACTGCAGGTGGACACGGATGGATCCAAAGTGCTCCACCTGTTAGAGCTGACAGTGAACTTTGAGCTTGTAAAAAACAACTCATGACTTTCCATGCTCAAAGGGTGCACTGTAAAAAGTTTAGTCAAATTAACAGTAACTTACTGGCAGAGGCGGACAGTAGTGAAGTATTTGTACTCTGCTTTAAAAGTACATTTTTCAAGTACTGTATCACAATATTCCAAAGCAAAATATTGTATTTTTTTTTAGTTTCATATTAAATATAATTTAATACTTAATTACATTAGAAATCTAGTACTTTCTTACTTTTACTCAAGTAAAAGTAATTCAAAGTTTTACTTGAGTACAAGAAAGTAAATTTTTAATGTTCTTAAGTTTAAAGGTAAAAAAACAACTTTTTAATGAAATTTAGTGCAGTAAAAAGTATGACATTATGCTTTGGAATGTAGTGAAGTCAAAGTTTTCCAAAGAAAAACACTCTGATAAAGTACAGATACTTTTTTAATTCACTTAAGTAAAGTAAAAATACTTCACTACTGTCCACCTCTGCTTACTGGCAACAATTATCCAGTAGTTGATGTATTTTGTACCTCAGTAAAATTACTGTAAAACTAAGTACAGTAGTTTTAAGAGTACTGTAAAACAAAGTACAGCACTATACTGTAATTTAAATTTTTATTTTGTTAGATATTCAATAACACAAGTTAGTGCTTCACACCAGAAGCTTTATTCAGGCTTCATCTTTTACATTTCATTGCTGAACTTCAATAAAATACACAGAATTACCAGCATATTAACAATATTTCATCAATTAACAAAATAACCTTATAGTCAGGTTACTAGTAAAATCACAGTAACACATTGTGCAAATGGAAAATAAAAGGTGGAAATATAAAAAAATAAATAAAGTTTGAAATGTTAAAGTACTTAATTAGAGAATTAATCAGAATACATTAATTAGAGAATCAGAGAATACATATCATCTCAAAATGTTTAAAATGGTCTTCTTTATCGCAGGGATTCTTCCTGCCTGTCTGTCGCCTGGTTAGCACGGCTTAAAGGGGTCATATGATGTTGCTAAAAAGAACATTATTTTGTGTATTTGGTGTAATGAAATGTGTTTATGCGGTTTAAGGTTCAAAAAACACATTATTTTCCACATACTGTACATTATTGTTTCTCCTCTATGCCCCGCCTTTCTGAAACGCATCGATTTTTACAAAGCTCATCGGTCTGAAAAGCAAGGTGGGCTCTGATTGGCCAGCTATCCAGTGCGTTGTGATTGGCCGAATACCTCAAGCGTGTGGCGGAAATGTCACGCCCCTTACCATATTGTGATGTCGTGTCCGGCCAGAGCGACGAGACAAAAACATTTAAAACCCATTATAAACGAGGCATTTGTTGCATCCAGTGGGGACATAATTACGGATTATAATGACTTATACTGTCTTTTTACGCGTTGCGTTGCATCGGCCGTGTAAACATAAAACCATGTCTGCATTTGTGATCGGAGAAATGACAAACAACAAGTGCTACTCTACACTGCTCAAAACTCGCGTTTGAATCGTCAGTGGCAAATTCTTTAAATATAAAAAACTTACTTACAGTCTGTGAGTCAGAACAGCTTGTAGTCTACTCTACCAGGATCAGGAAACACATCTGAATATTTGGGTTAAACTTTTCTGGAACAGTGTTGTAAATACAACTTAACCACTGATTTCTAGTCGTGTCCTCTTTTGGAAGGCCAAACAAAGTAGTTTCGCTTTCACAATGAAACACACGGTGGGCTAGAGCGAGCGGAGGCCTGCTTGAGTGAGCGGCGGCGGGCGGGCTTGAGAACGGCATGGTCGGCGGATTCGACGAAAGAGCGTCCGGCGGGCTTGCGGACCTATCAATTTAACATACTCTTATGACTTTTGTCTTCACGGCGAGACTGCTGGAGTAAAAGGACAGTTATAGCAGCTTGACTCGGAAACTGAGCACTCACTCAGATATTCGCTCAGATACTCTATCTTGCAAATAACATCAGAATAAAATGTACAAAAAGTGATTAAAAAGTCGAAAATTAAAGTTAACCTACCATAGCCTACTCTCTTGTGGGCTTTCTTCTTCACGAGTCTGTCACAGAGCTGTTGCGCAAGGTTGCTTTTCACGGTCATTTGGTACTACTGTATTTAGATTTACAGTAGGTTAATATTTTCCCAGAGTGCATTGAAAATCTACAGTAGCATTCTGTATACAGCGTATACAGTAGGGAACTGCTGAGAATACAGTAATACTGTGAAAACAACAAAATTCACAGTAACATACTGTATGCAAATGGTACGGTAGGGAACGGTTAAGAATACAGTGATTTACTGCAAAAACAACAAAAATTATTTACAGTGCAAGGACCCCCCCCCCCCCCCCCCCCCCTTCTCTCTCTCTCTCTCTCTCTCTCAATTTCAATTTCAATTTCAATTTAAGAGTGCTTTATT